GAGGAGCAATGCAAACGACAGGTGTGATGACACTACGGTAAATTCGCCAAAAGGGCACGTTTTATGGAGGGATAGAGGGATCAGAACAGAACGAGGAATGCAAGTACAACCGTTTCGACAGAAAGCTGGTCAAGGGATTGAATCACTTGTCTCTTTGACGAGTTGCAGCTTAGTGCTGAGAATGGCAAGACTCATTGACGATGCCGGCGAAACGTCTAGGATGTACCAAATCGACGGTCCTTTTACGACGATTATCCTGCATACTCTCGACTCCGGACAAGGTGCTACTATAGGTCTTCCTACCAATATGGTCAAGTTGCCAGAACAAGGCCAACCGACTACTGTATATGTTTAATTTACACGACCTAGGCTAGGCTATCATTTGAAATAATAATTCTATATAGGATGAGTTGAAGGCGCAGTTCACCTGGGATTACACAGTGGGTTAGCTTAGGATATTATGTTTTTTTATTAACTTAATATTTATTTTATTAGCTAGGGGTGAAATAATTTTTAATAAACTTCTCTTTTTGATTATTTTTCTAGCTCGCCGATAAACTTGCCATGGAAGTAGATGCTGTTGCTCCCGAAGCTATGGAAACCGATAAGCCATCTTGTGAATCATCTGCTGCTCCTGGTAGTGGAGTTATGCCTCTCTCGACAAAAGCTGTCAAGTCGGAGGATGAATCTGATCTTGGGGCCATCTATGATGCTAGCTCCCTTCAATCAGTGCTGCAGAACCTCCCTGGTGTTGACATTCAAGATGAAGAAGTTCGTAACGCCATTGGTCTGCTAACTAAGCAAAAACTACCTGTTCCGAGTGGACCAAAGCCAGAAGAAGATTCTGAGAAAAAAGACGGAGCTGAATAAACACTGAAAAATCTTTTTCCTTGTTCTATCTCTATTTTCTTCTTCTCAGTTCATGGAAACAGCGACTACTTGTTAAATCCTCCTTTCAGAATATTACTCTTATTGCTCGACTGATAAAATGTATTAGAAGAGTTTTTGCCTTTTATTATATTGCCTATCACATCCGAAATTAACTTCTAGAAAGCCTTCCCTAAAATAAA